TAAAAATAAAATAAATAAAAGAGAGCTAATACCCTCAAGAAATTGTCTGTGAAATTTCGTCCTAGGTTATAAAGACCGTTTTTGAGAAATATCGAATTTTCCAGAAAAATTGGTCACGTAACTTAAATTGTGATTTTCTCAAAATCACGTTGTTAACGTGTAGTCCTTACGAACTACGACTGTTAGACAGGGTGTTCGAGTGGCAGTTCTTTTTAATCGGACAGTAATAGTCCAATAGTTTAAAGATTGAGACGTGGGAGCAAACGCACTTTGGCCATTTGCCAGCGGTAAGTTTGTATTAGGAAAGGTTATAAACATCTGTGGCAACGGGGTGGGACCCAGATTATATGTTGGCGTAGTTTGAGATAAAGCCGCACGTTACCCGTTATTGAAATTGTTTGAGGTATTCATACTTCCCCCAATGTTTCCATTAGTATTATTCATATTCTTAGTTGGACATACATATCCCTAGTGTCCGAATTGATTACAGTGTGAACAAGGTCCTTTTGGTATATTATTACAATTTCTCGCGATGTATCCCTTTTGGCGGCAACAATGACAAATAATCTCTGTATTCAGCCTATTGTTATATTAGCTATTCCCCTTATTTTGATTACCCAAGTTATTTCGTTGCCTACAGTCCCTAGAAAGATGGCCAGGTCATCCACAGTTGTAACAATTTTGATTGGCCCGATTATTATTATTGTTGTTATTATTCCTTCAGTTATTATTGGAATTAGCTGGATGTGAAGTATTATTTTGGGGTCGTGGCGTGGCATTCGAGGTAGTCAACAATTGTTTAAATTCCTTGATTAATTTCTCATTATTTTGATTAATCAACTGTTGAATATCAGTAGGGCCTTCAACAATGTTATCGTCCTTCTGATTCAAATAGGCCTTACTTAAAAAGTAACCTGAAAGTGTACTATCCTTTGATAATACAGCCTCGATAGCTCGTGCTCGGTCAATTGCTTCCTCCAAATCACGAGGTGTAGTAGCAGCGATAGCCGTATGGAATTCTGGACGAAGTCCTTGTACAAACTGTTCGATTTTCTCATCCTCTGGAGTATCATAATCAGGATCGAGTTTAAGGTATAGCGATTTGACGTCAGCAGCATAATCTTCAACTGACTGTCCAGGACGTTGTTTACATCGTCGAAGTGCAGAACGCCATTGTGTCCTTCGGTGAGTTGTACAATAATGCTTCAAAAAATGATAAACAAAAGAACGATGCTTATGCTGTCGGTCTGTGAAATTATCCCAATATCGCAAGTCCTTTTCATGTTTAGTTTTGTTATACCAGGTGAGAGCTGATCCTTTCAAAAATGAAGGAACTAGAGTAAGTCGTCGCTTATCAGAGATCCCGTTAGCATCCCCAGCATTGTTATATCTCTCCAACCAATCACGAGGATCTTGGTCACCTCCTTTAAAAGTAGGTAAATCCACAAATTTGGCTTCTCGTTGTCCTCCAAACCCAACAGTTCTAAAAACTGTTTGCAATCCTTTCATCATTTTAAGAAAATTTCGATCATCCTCTGCGGTTACATTAGTATCGTCAAACGGATCGTCATCCTCACTATCACTGGAGCTAGATTCATCTGACTCAGAGTTAGAAGAGGACGAAGAGCTATCATAATAAGATGAGGAACGACGTCCTTTTTGTTTACGAGTTTTCTTAGATTTTGATTTTTCGTCACTATCTTGTTTGTTGGCGCGTCAGGTGCTCGGTTTAGGTGACTGCGTCAAATTCTTGTTTTTCTGTTTAGAACCTGCTCCTTGTTCCTCATCGGATGTTCGCGCAAAAGATAATCTGGGTGGCCTTCCTGTTTCCTTATAGGAACGGATAGTTGATTCTTCCAAACTGGATGTTTGTCTGCCAGTGCCTTTTCCACTAGGGGTAGTATTAACGAATATGGTATCTTCAGGGGGGTAAGGGTTTTCTCGAGGAGAAGCGGGTTTGTCTTCTGCAGACTTAGAAGTGTCCCTTCTGTCGAGTGAGGTCGTCCTAGAAGGTCTTGTCATTGTAGGTGAGTCTGAAATTACTGGTGGAAGGAGGACGGACAGGTCGATATGTTTGGATAGGTCCGTATGTAGTGGTGTCGAAAAAGCAGAAGTATCAGAATGTACTTGAAGGACCAGTTGTAAGGCTTGATCAAGGGAATAAAGTGGTAGTTTATTATATACGAGAGCTTGGAAGGTTTGTCTATAAAAATATTGTTGCAAGTCAACAATAGTAGCAGTTCTGGCGAATTCAAAATTTTCGATTGTTTTCCCAGTATATTGTCGGGCGTCTAAAATAAATTTTGCCCACTCAAAAAATGATCGAAATGCGGTAGTCAAGGTTGACGGCAAAGGTGCCGGATGACAGATAATACACGAAGGGTCTGGTAAAAGTATAACTTTGATGGTTTTATTTTCTTTCTGAAGATGTTGTTGCTGGTGAAATCTCTGTTGACTAAACAAGTTTCCAAAAGAATTCATATAGCGTACTCATGTGTTATTACTGCGCCAATTAGGAAAAGATGGTCCTGTCGTCGTCGCCAAATGTTAACGTGTAGTCCTTGCGAACTACGACTGTTAGACGGAGTGTTCGAGTGGCAGTTCTTTTTAATCAGACAGTAATATTTCAATGATTCACAAGTTTTAATTCAGATTGTCGACAAGAAGTGTTTAATTTATTTATCGGTAAATGACAATTCCAAATAATGACTGCAAGTATTTTATAAGTT